GAAGTCGGTAATCACTATTTTATCTTCTCAAATCAGATTTAGGTAAGTCGAATGATGTTTCGATTTCATGCATATTAACGGCATGCTCTTGATGAATATAATATGCACATTATCGGTGTAATATCTCCCACAACCTTCACCCAATGCCCACCACTGTCCCATGCAAAAATGAAAGTTGAGATTTTGAATATGAAGTGCCAACAATATTGTACTAAGTAGTTGCTTCAGTATGTATGCCCAAGGTCTGCTGGATTGAGGGAGGTTTCAAATGGGCCGAAATGACAGGCTTTGGGTAAGTCTTACCCACTACTAGCTGATCCAGCATCAACTCTATTCTATGGGCCTTAAGTGGATTGGCTGGACCTACAGCACTAACCTGGAACCTTACAAAGTGGACCCATCTCTGCCCACAATGTGAAACTGACAACATAATCACTTTCGGATCTTATCTTTTTATAATTGCACAATTTTTCCTTGACCACACACAAACATATTCTTTTGTTTAATGATCCAATTTGGGCATTAGTCTTAACTCATTATGCACCTGAAGTGGGTTACCTAATTAGTTTAGTAACCATTTAGCTAAAAATCGATGTTCTCAAATGAGTCACCATTTTGTACAAGCATATTAAATGTTAAATCACACGACACTTAAATAGAAAAATTGTAATCAATAGGATCGAATTACTTCTTCGTTAATTTTTTATCCTAGACCCTAGACTCAATAAACAGAAATTTTTGGGTTTTTTTTTTTTTTAATTTCACCCTTACCGGAAGAGACTCGAAATGGGTAAAACTAAAGAAAAAGACATAATCGTTCTAGGAAGATTAATATAATTGTTCTACGTATCAGAATCATGAATTCCTTAAACTTCATAATTTCGATATTCCTTCATCATCCTGCCTATGGTACACATTCTAACACGTTTGGCACGAAGAATTTAACTATATCGCCCCATCTATGCCTTGGTAGGTTTAGGTGTGATTTTTATTACAAGTCCAGGAAAAACATCATCTGGATCATGTATATGGGGATTCTGCTCAACGATGAAGGGGTCCCCGCACTTGTCACTGATGGTGTGAAGAGTTTCGCCTTCTCCGACAACATATATTTCCTCGCATGGCCTGTCTGTGAGCTGGTTTCTTTTAACGTTGACCTCTAATTCAAAATCTGTGAAAGAGTTCTCACTGATTGAACCTAATAACATAAGGGCCAAAATAACTACGGCACAGTATGCATCTGCTATGTGAAGAGATGAAGAAGCCATATTAAGCTTTTAGGCTTCTATGAATTTTGTATGAGAGCTTTATACATGAGATTTTTATATAGACACACACAAACGTGTGGACACTGGGAGTTGGAAGGCATGAGAAAAAGTTAGTATGGAATGACTTTGGGCGTAATTATTGGGGCAGAAAGTTGGGTTGAAGTTTTCAACGATTTTTGGCGTGTCAATTTAAGGTCTTTTGAGTAAAACAACTTTCTAAGAAAATTATCTTAAATAATGTTTTGAAAACTAATTTTCAAAAAATTTCGAAAGACATTTAGAAAAAGGCAAATTAGAAAAATCATTTTTATAAAATTAATCAAATTGATACAAAAAAGTCAAAGTCAACTATTAATTTTAACCACATATTTTTTAGAATTCACAATTTTTCAATCACACGTATTATCATTTTTCATCAAAAACTACTAAAATTTTTATTTTAATCTCCACCAAAATGGGGGCTAAACAATAAAGGGTTTAAGAATTTATTTTTATTTTTTTTTATAATGAGAAATTTTTCAAGGAAAATCAAAGTTGTGAGAAAAATAGAAAACATTTAGGCCCTGTTTGATTAGATAATTTTTTCAATATTTTCCATTTTTTCACAAATGTGCTGTTTGATGACAAAAAATTTCTAAGGAAAAAATTTTCCCACTCACCCATTTGCCTTATATTTGGGGAATTCATTTTCCCACCACTTTGGTGAGAATGGAAAAAAATTTTATAACCAATTGTAAAAAAAAATAAAATTCACTTTAATAAATAATTTTCATGTAAAACGAAATCAAACGAACACTAAATTTTGATAAAAAAAATAGTTTTCAATCAAATTTTTTTTTCTTTTTTTACTTTTTGGTAATGGTAACAAATTTTCTAACCAATTGTAAAAACAAAAAAAAAAAATCACTTTAATGAATTATTTCCATATAAAATAAAGTCAAATATGAACAAAAAGATCTAAAATTTTAAAAATTTTCGGGTGGAAAATTATACCAATCAAACATACTTAATTAACAATTCCCAAGAAAATAATTGTTAGGCAATTATTTTCCCTAAAATTCATTTTCTTTCCACTTATTTTCCACCCTTACAATCAAGCGGACCCTTAAGAAAATAGAAAAATTGTTTTCTTTTCTGAAAATTTCTAGAAAAAATGATCCGTGACATAAAATTTCTTTAATCTAAGCATATGTTTGGCCACCATATTCTAATTTTTTTCTTTTAAATTTATTTCAAGCACACATTTCATGGAATTCACAATTTTTATCAATTTTTCGACCACACATTTCATCAATTTTTATTAAAATTTACTAAGAATATGATTTTTAGCTAAACCAAATATGGGCTAAGTGTAGAAAAAATTTATTCGAATTTCAAGTTAGAGCCAATAAAAAAACATAAAACATGTTAGTATATAGAGTTCATATCAATTCAATTCAATTCAATAAGACGAATTAAATATTATCTTTAATGACATAGAAGTCTAAAATAGTTAATTTCTCAAAATTTAACTAATGAAATTATTTGGGAACCTTCTAAGTTGACTTGCTTTCATCCATTAAACCCATAGTTGGGGGTTGAAGATAACTAGGTTTTCTAGGTGGTCGCTAAGAAAGTAACATAAATGTACCATTTTGGAAAGTTATCGACACTGGAGAGTTGACCCCATTTAAACTATTTTTTAAAAGGCCAAACATATTATAATAATCCAATTTTATTAAAATTAAAACTTATGGGAGGTCGACGTTTTTAAAACTAGAAAAATTTATGAACTTGGAAATTAATTAAATATATATATTATCTAGTATTAGAGTCCGTTTGATTGCAATAGTGGAATTTGGATAGAAAGAAAATGAATTCCAAGGAATTGAATTACCTAAAATTGTATTCCTGAGAATTGTTAATTAATTGTATTTGATTTGTATAATTTTTCACCTGAAAAATGTTGAAATTTTGGATCTTTTGATATTCGTTTGGCTTTATTTTTCATGAAAATTGTTCATTAAAGAAAAAAAATTTCACAATTATTCATGGAATTTGTTTTCATTGCAAGAAAAAAACCTGAAAATCAATTTCTCACCAATTGGTTTTCCTCGATTCCAAGAAAACCCACCTGTGAGCACAAAGCTAGAAAATCAAATGTCAAGAAAATATTGTGCATCAAACACGACATTTGTGGAAGATAGAATTTGTTTTCCATTTTTCATGGAAAATATTGATGAATCAAACAGGCCCTTAATGTAATGTTAATATAAATCTAGTAATATTGAGAATTTGAAAAAAAAAAAATACAGATTCTAATAATCACAATTTTTTAAGCTTAACGAAACGGGCCAACATAATTGTTATGTCTCAGGCCCCATCACATAACCAAATGGACTAGTGAAAATTACACGAAACCAAGCCTTTTCTTTCACGTTTTAAAAAGTCAGATTTTCACATTTTTTTTATTTATCAGGTGTTTATCTTTTTAATTAAACAATTAATATTTTAATTAAATGACGCGCGTATCCCGTTAATGGTGGGTTTCAAAATGGTTAATATCTCAATTTCCATATCATTGAAGCCCTATTTTCTCTCGATCACCATCTCATCTTCCCATTCCTCGTGCCCTCTCTCCACCATTTTCAGACTTCGTCTATGATAAGTCTCCACCCAATCTCCAGTGCATTTAATATTCTTTCGGTAGTGAAGACAAATGGCTAAGACGAGCGATGAGATGAAGGGCAAGAAATCGGTGTAGAAGCCGGTGCATACAAAAAGAGAAAAATAACAGACAGCCACACCAAAATGCCAGCATCAAGGCAAAAATCGCACGGATCAAGTGGTATTCAGTTAAGGAAGAAGGTAATGGCATGGGTCAAATGGCAATCGTCGATTCGATCAAACATTTCGATTTTTTCATGATTTGTGTATATGGAATCACAGAATCAATTTTGCCATGAATGTTTTTTTTCTTTGCAGTTCTGTGTGTAAAATATAGTTGAGTTGCAATTTTGTGTTCAGTTTTTATTCATTTCATTTGTGTCCTTTTTTTGTGGATTGAGGATTAGGGTTGAAGTTTGGGGGTTTTTTACAATAGAAATTCAATTTTTGATGTGAATGAATGCCCGTGACCTTGATCATGTATGGGTGTATTTTCCCTTTTCCAGTGACCTCATATCTTGTTGATTGAGGACTAGTTTTAAAGTTTGGGGGTTTTTTACGGTGGAAGTAGCATGTGACCTTGATCATGTATTGGTATTTTTCCCCGTTCCTGTGACCTGACATCTTGTTGATTGAGAACTAGTTTTGAAGTTTGGGGGTTTTTACGAGGGCAGGTCAATTTTAGATGTCAATGTACGCCTGTGACCCTGCACACGTATTGGTGCTCTGCACCCAACCTGTGACATGAATTCTTCACATAGTGTTTATTTCATTTGTGAACTGTTTTTTTATTGTGAAGTAGCATTAAAGGTTTCCATCGTGAAATTGCAGTTTGGAAATGTCATGTGACCTATGTTTATGCTTATTCCCGGATGTCATCTATGACCTATGTTAATTTACATATGTGAGTTGATAAACATATTTTACTACAGATTTGGGAATACATGTTACATCAAGAAAAATGATTTTTTGGCAAGATTACAAAGTCTATGCCAAAGGGTGTTATTGCACCAACATAAAGAGACATCTAGACGAAGCCCAGCAAAGAATATTAAAGGGTACATGCTTTGGACATTTTTATGGATTGCCTTGACATAGCCCTACAGTCATGGTTGATCTACTACTTCCTGCTCAGACTGGTTCATACGCTAAACAAAGATGAACTATGATATTGTCACAAGGCTGTATAAACATCGGAGCATATACAAGAGAATATGATATTCTCATTGAGTGATGGATGTCCTTATTTGTTTTTTGAATAGTTTAAAACAATGATCAAACTCTGTAAAGTTTCTGATTGTCATTTTTTTGTGGCATCTTCTATTTTTATTGGGATAAATGTACATTGATTTTTTTTTTATGGTAATTGGCAAAATTTTCATTGTGAGCAGGCATGAGTTTGAATTAAAAGTAGTTTTTTGCATGTGTGTAAATTGCAATATGATGAACACAGGACATGGATAAAGGTTTATGACAGTCCAGTGGCCTGGGTATTTAGGCAGGTCACAACTTGTAGTATAATATTTTTCTATAGGGTCACATGTGATATTATGTTAGGAGTATGTAGGTCACAGGAATACTAGTAGTTACATAGTGTTGCATGAAGTCACGAAGAACACTATATTGATTTCTACAGGATCAGAGGTGATAATATTTTGAATATGTAGGTCACATGTGATAATATTTTTGAACATGTAGGTCACAGAGACCAATTTATTGATTTCACAGGGTTACAGATAGTAGTGAACTGTTAATACAAGTTTTCCCGAGGGTCACAGTTGGACTTTATGCATAATTAACTATTCAACACGAAATAATCCGAACAAATATTTCTCATTTCAATTATTATTCACTCACATTAAAATACTAGATAGCTACAACAAATTTTAACAAAAGATAATGAATAAGTGAAATTGTAATGAATATGGTGCAAATGTCATTGACTGATTTGCTTGTTCTGAATCTTTGTCCCTTCTTGACTGTGGCTCAATGGAACCAAGTTAGTACATCTTCTTCGATTGTGACCATGTCCCCTACAGTGACCACATTTCATNCATCTCCTTCGATCGTGATCATGTCCCCTACAGCGACCACATTTCACAATGTGTTTCCCCTTCACTTGCTGACCTTATCCTCTTTTCGGCGGGTCTACCAGTATTTAAATTGAATCAATGCAAGTCACATATGTGTTTCGAGTCACGGGTAGGAAAATATGCAGATCACATATGTGTTTCTGGTCACAGGTAGTAGAGCATTCAGGACACAGAATTCAATTGTAGGAAGACAGTAGTTTAAATTGAAATTAAATGCAGATCACATATGTGTTCCGGGTCACAGTTAGGAGAACATGCAGG